GCACCCCCAGGAAGGGCAGCAGCCCCCAGGCCCCAGCCGGGAAGAACCTCGTGCAGGCTCGTGTGCGGCGGGCAGGCCAGGTGGACAGCGGCCCCCAGCAGCTCTGCAGCCTGAGCATCACCAGCTCAAGGCCCAAGACCGCCCTGGCCGAGAAGACCCCTGAGCACCCCCAACGAGAGGCCCCCCGGCCCCCAGAGGCTGGAACCGGGGCCCTTCTCAGGCAGGGCCACCCCAGGGCTGAGGCCTCACCAGCCCCAGAGGAGCTCAGCTTCCGAAAGTGCTTCCAGGAGACCCCCTCCAGCTTTACCTCCACCAACTGTACCTCACCGAGCGCCAACCCCGGGCCCCCGCCCCTCAGGGCCCCCCAGAGCAGCGGCGCCAGCCCCTGCCGGGCTGCCCCCTATGTGGAATTCCAGGCCAGCGGGGCCGATGCCTGGCCTCCCCCAGCTGAGAACAGCTTCCCAGGTGCTAGTTTCGGGGTCCCCCAAGCTGAGCCGGAGCCCTTTCCCAAAGGCGGCAGCCCCAGGGTGGTTTCCTTCCAGCACCCCTTCCCAGAGCTGCATGGGGCTGGCCCGAAACCCTTCCCCGAGGACGCCGCTGGGCCCGAGTACTCGGAGAGGGCACTGGTGTTTGCCTTCCACCAGCCTCGGGGAGCATGGCCGGAGGAGCCAGTGGGCACGGGCCCGGCCTACCCGCTGCCTGCCCAGCCGGCTCCCCCACCCCCACCCTGCTACCCAGGCAGGCCCGGTGGCCTTGACCCCCACAGCGACCTCAGCAGTGCGCTCCCTCCACCTGGTGCTGCTCACCTGGCCCCCAGCCCCTTCTCAGAGAATGCAGCCACTTGCCGGGACGGTTTGCACGAGAGCATGACCAAAGTGCTCCCTGAGAGACCGCCTTCGGCCCACGATGGGCCGGGGAGCCCCAGGGAGCCCCCGAACTCTCTGCCCCAGAGGCCCTTTCCCAGACAGGTGTATGGAAGCCCAGGAGCCAGCGGGGTGGGCTCCAGCCCACGGTCTCTGGACACGGATCTGGCCATCCCGGGGCCTCCTACTGCCATACTGCCCCAGCTGTGGGACCCCGCCTCAGCCACTTACTCCACACCTCCCCTGGGGCCCCCGGCCACCGCCAGGAGTGTGTTCTTCGAAGCCCAGCCCAGCCCAGGCCAGCGGCTCAGCCTCCCCCACAGCCCCCCACTGCCCTGGCCCCAGGTACTCCCGGCCACCGGGCCTAGCCCCCATCGAATGGAGTTGTTGAACCGGCTGCCCTTCCCCCTGGGCACCCCTGAGTGGCAGGGGGGCAGCCAGGGAGTCCTGGGTGCTGCTGGCAAGACACCTGGGCCGGGGGAAAAGCTGGTGGTCCTGAGAACCAGCCCAGGCCAGCAAGGCAGCAGCTCCCCTGGGCTGTACACCTACAACGGCCTGAAGGACCCTGGAGCCCAGCCCCTGTTCTTTGGGGTGGCCCAGCCCCAGGTCTCACCCCGGGGCACCCCCAGCCTTCCCCCACCCAGAGTGGTGGGAGCCTCCCCCAGCGAGTCCCCACTGCCCTCACCAGCCACCCACACGGCCAGCAGCAGCACGTGCTCATCCCTGTCCCCACTGTCCAGCAGCCCAGCCAACACCAGCTCGGAGGAGAGCCAGCTCCCCGGCCCGCTCACACCCTCGGCCTTCTTTCACCCGCCTCCTCACCCCCAGGAGACTGGCAGCCCCTTCCCGTCCCCTGAGCCCTCCCACGCCCTCCCCATCCACTACCAGCCAGAGCCAGTCAAGGCCTTCCCTTTCCCCACAGAGGGGCTGGGGGCCGAAGGTGCCTTCAGATGCCTGGAGGAGACCCCGTTCCCCAGCGCAGTCCTCGAGGTGGGCAGCAGGGGGCTGGAGAGCTTCCCCCAGGAGCCACCCCCCTACCCTGCCCACCACTTCCCCCTCAGCAGTGCCAGCCTGGACCAGCTAGACGTGCTGCTCACCTGCAGACAGTGTGACCGGAACTACAGCAGCCTGGCCGCCTTCCTGGGGCACCGCCAGTTCTGCGGCCTGCTGCTGGCCAGGGCCAAGGACGGCCACCAGCAGCCCCCAGCCGTCCCCTCTGCACAGGCTTCCCCCACAGCACCAGCCAGCAGGAACCCGAGCCCGCTCAGCCACACCAGGACAGCCCCCTTCCTGCTGGGCGGAGACGTCCGGCCAGATGGCAAAGACGACCCCCTGAGGACAAGTTTCCTGCCCAGCCTGGTCGCCGCCCCCTTCCCGCTCCCTGCCGCGGACCTGGACCTGGAGGACGAGGCCAAGCTGGACAGCCTCATCACAGAGGCGCTCAATGGCCTGGGGTACCAGTCGGACAACCCTGAGATCGACAGCAGTTTCATTGACGTCTTCACTGATGAGGAGCCTTCCGGCCCCCGGGGCCCCACCACTGGGCAGCCCCCCAAGACCAGGGTGGGCGCCATGCCAGAGAGCCAAGCCAAGCCCTCGCTCCAAGCTGTGGACACCCCCCTGGAGCCCCAGCATCTGCACCCTGGGGATGAGGACTACCCGGCCGGCAGGCCCAAAACCCACTCCCTGGGCCCAGCACCCACAGAGGCAGATGGGGCCAGCCTGGTCAGCCAGCAGAGGAGAGGAAAGCGGTTTAAGTTGTTCCAGAAAGAGCTGGACACCGCCGACACCTCCAGGAGGCCAGGCAGGGGCACCAGAGCCGCCCGCCTGAGGCCTAGGAGGACAGGTGACCGGGCTGAGCCGCCCCCACCCCACCCCCGGGACCTTAGAACCCAAGCCCCGAAGAGCCACGCAGACCTAGGCGGACGGGCCCTCCTGGTGGAGACCAGGAGCTCCAAGCGCCTCCGACTGTCCCCCGGCGGCAAGGAGGCCTGGAGACGGCGGGCTCGGGGCGGCACCTGGAGCAAGGAGCTCATCCACAGGATCGTGCAGCAGAAGAACAGGGCTCGCGAGCCCCAGGCGCCGCGGGGCCCGGCCGCACAGTCCTCCCCACGGGGCACCGTGGGTGCTTGCCCCCAGGAGTGCGACTCCGAGTCCGAGGAGGAGGATGGCCCGAGGCTGCGCGGCCCCCGCCTCAGAGGCCAGCTCCGCCCCAGCGGCCGGCGGTGGCATCGAGGCGAGAAGAGGAAGGAGGGGGACTTGACCCCGGGTCCCAGAGAGCATGGGCAGCAGCGGAAGCCCAGGAAGGTTGTGAGGCAGGATGCCGCGAGGGACAGGGTCTCGCTGGCCCCAGAGGAGCCGGGCGGGCCTGGGCTGGGCCTGTCACACAGCCCAGAGGACGGAGTGGGCCCCAAGGAGAGAGGCCCCCAGCGTCTCCTGCAGGTTCTCACCGGTGCTGAGACCCCAGAGGAAAACCCTCCACCTCTGGGCTTCCCCCAAGATGCCAGGAAGCCTGACGTTTCAGAAGAGTTGCCCCCTGACACCACAGAACTTCTCAGAGAAGCCTCTGCAGACACCTGTGAGGGAGGAAGCCCCTGCCCCCCAACCCCAGCGCGCCCACAGCCCGGGGGAGAGGGCCCCCCAGCCTCCCCCCAAGGGGAACCGCCAGTGCACGTCGCTGACGCCGCCGACACAGCCCACCCCGAGCCCACGGCCCTCGTTTTGAAGCCCCCCGGCCTCGGGCGTGGTCCTGCTCTTCCTCACGGAAGCCCCACAGGGGCTCCAGCCGCCAGAAAGGAGCCTCAGCCACACTCCAGCCCCCCTGGCGAGCTGCTCCTCGGACTCAAAGCCCTGGCTGGCTGTTTCCATGAAGCCCTGTGCCCCCAGCCCTCAGCCCCGGACAGTCTGCCAGCCAGCAGGGCATGCCTCCACCAAGACGGTGTGGACACCAGTTCTGGAGAGCCAGTGCCACCCAGGAACCCACCCTACACCGTCGTCACAGGCCTAGGCAAAGATGAATTGCCACTGGCCTTAGAGCCCACGCCTCTCTTCTCGGGGCTGCCCGTGGACAGCTTTGACCCACCCGTCTATAGCAGCCTGTCTGGGAATGGGGACACCCACATGCCACCTGCCTGTGCCAGCCCTCCTCTGAGGAAACCCCAGTTAGACCCACCGTACCCCTCGTTTCTGCCCGAGAAGGGCTGGTCCCTGCTGGAGGAAGAGTCCCCGATGCCACCTGGCCATCTGGGCCCTTTTCCTGGCCTCTCAGGGGAAAAGGCATTCAGTCAGAAGTGTCCCAGTGAAGGGACAGTGGCCACCAGCCTCCCTGCATTATCAGGTAAGGTTACCAAGTGCAGCTCCGCTTTTACGGGAGGCCTTTCCGAGGAAGAGCTGGAGATCAAAAGGCTGGTCACTGAACTGGAAAGTCAGCTGCAAAGTAAAGGTGCCCAGGAGGCCCCGGGAGAGCAGTCCCGAGTCCAGACGGCAGGCAGCGTGCATGTGGGCACCGCCAGCCCTGCGCCCGTCCTCCAGGCCGCCTCGCCCTGCAGGGACGCGCTCTCTGCAGCCAACGTCACCGGTCCTGGGGAGTTGAGCCCACACCCAGAAGGGGAGGAGACAGCTGTGGTCACCGCGGGGGGCACTCTGGGGAGCCCGGAGGAGGAGTGGCCCTCCTTCCACCCAGAAGCAGCCCTGCCCCCCAGCACCCACGGAAACGGGGCCAGCCTCAGTTTCCATCCAGTGCGGAAAGCCAGGATCTCCAAGACAGGGCTCCTCCGCGCAGAAGGGGACATCGGGGCCCCCCTGGAAGTCTGTCTGCTGGACCCTGGAGAACCACTCACACCCCCATCAGATGTGGGAAGTTTAGCAAAGTGCAGCCCCAACCGCAAGCCTTCACCTCCTAAGAGTAACAGGACCACCAGGACACAGCACGGCCAAGCCCCCCCACTGCTCCTTCCCTGCACGCAGGGAGGAGGCCCTTCCCCGGGATCCTGCAAGGCACAGGTGCCCCGTCCAGGTCCCCCTGAGCTGGAAGCATTTGGCAGCCCTGTTGCCCATCTGACACCTAGCCTGGCAATTCGGGGTGCCACCCCTCCTTCTGGTGCCAGTCCCAGCAGGGCCCCCAAGGGACACCCTGCGACAAGCACAGGCGGGCCAGAAGGAGCAGGGCTCCTCGGCCCTGTGGCGGGGGGCCCTGGCCCCGAGCGTGATGAGCGCTTTGGACCAGCAGGAGCCTCCACAAGTCCTGCCTGCATGCTTGACCCCGGCCCCAGCAGGAAGCCCCCGGCCCCAGCCACGAGCCCCCTTCATCAACTTCAGCTCCTGGTGGCCAGAGCAGCTGAGAGGGAAGACTGCACCCAGAGCTTACAGGCTCCCCCCGCTGCCAACGCCCAGCGCCCTCAGCACGGCAGCCCCTCCGACCCGGGAGGGGGACAGTGTGAGCCGTGGGCAAACAGCCTGCAGCCCCGCCCAGAGTTCCCATGGGGCTGTGCAGCTGACAGCTGACCCTGCTACGGCCGGGTGTGAACTGGGGCCAGAGGGAGATGGATATCTGGGCTCACAGGGCCAGGCCAAGAAGCCCGAGGACCAAGTCGAGGCCAGCTCACTGCAGCCAGGTGACCAAGGGAGGCCCGGGGGGCCGGACGACCTTGCCACAGCCGGTGCCAACGATGAAACCACGCCGGCCTGGCTGGTGGGGGCTGCAGACCAGCTGAGAGGGCAGCACCAAGGAAGCAGGGAAGCCGTAGGCCTTTGGAACAAGACACGGGCCACCCCCAGCTCCACCTCCTCTGAGGCAGACCCTTCAGGCCTAGCCTCTGCAGCAGCCCACACCCGAAATGGGCCTGAGGACCAGACTCCAGAGGAAGCAGCTGGCCCAGGCCTTAAGGAACATCTGCCTTTTGCTGGGGAGAACCCAGCGCCCCCAGTCAGGGCCCTGGCCAGCTGCTCCTCCTTGCCTACTTCTGCAGCCTCCCTCGGTCCCTGCAGCCTCCAGCCCCTGCCCCGGGAAGACCCTCCTGCTGCACCTTCAGGTGAGCTAAGGGGGCCGCTCCCAGCGTCTCCATCCTGTGGGGACCCTACCAGCCCGCAGCTTCTGCCAACCCATTCTCCTACCTGGGCACCTCCACAAAGGGCCGACTGCACCCCAGACCCCACAGAGGCTGGGGTGCCCCTGGACGTGCCCCCATCTTTGAGGACAAGCCCCTGTGGCCCCAAGGAAAGCCAGACTTGCCACCCTCTCCTGGGGGACTGCAGCCCCCTGGAAGACCCTCCCAAGGGCCAGCCCAGCTCCGTCCATGTCCTCAGTCCCACCCATGAAGGGGACCACCCCGGAGGTTGCATGTCAGGAGCCCCAGAAGGTTCCAGAAAAGAAAGGCCACGGCAATTTCCTGCCTGCACCACCCCTCCCCACTCAGCGAGGACCATCTGCGCAGTAGCCACCATCAAGGCCTCTGCCCTGCCCGGCACTCCCACCACCGGTGGCCTGGGGGCAGACAGAGGCCCCAGGGCCGAGTGGCCAGACCCCCACTGCAGGGGAGCCTCGGCCCACACCCGCCCCAAGGGCCAGTCCTCCGAACCCCCAGGCAACAGGGAGGGCCAGGTTGTCACCGCTGTGCCCGCTGACCCTTCCGCACTGGGGACTGCAGGGCCAGACCCCCACACCTGCTGGGAAGACGAGGCAGAGGCCAGCTGCCAGGGACAAGAAGGCCTGGAAACACCTGGGGCCATGCACCCTGGCATCGCAAAGGCATCGCGAGCAGGCGCCAGCGGCCTGACGGTCACCTGCCCTTCCCCAGAGTTCTACCCAGGCAGAGCCACGTCCCTGAGCAGCACAGCCAGCAGCTCCAGACCCAACTCCCCCCAAAAACGTCAGAAACCTCCTCTTCCAGAGACCCCAAGGGGATCCCCTCAGTCCCCAGGACCCCAGACAGACACCTCACAGGTTTAGAAAGAAGCCTGCATTCACTGAGAACGGCCACTGGAGGGACAGAGCCCCCAGTGGGAGGCCTGTGACCTGTGAGGTTTGCCTGGCCTCCTTCCGCTCTGGGCCGGGCCTAAGCCGCCACCGAGCCCGGAAGCACGGACCGCACCGGGATGCTGCCTCCCAGCCAAGCCCACAGTCCACACCTACCCCCAAGCCTGGGAAGCCCACAGCCCAGACATGCCACCCCCCCGGGAAGAGTCGCAGGGCACCCGGGAAGAAGACAAGGCACTTGCTGGAGGGCCCCAGCCTCGCCGCAGGGCCGCCTCCCGTCAGGGGCGCCGAGGACGCCCTGGGTTCCAAGATGTCAGAGAGGCTTAGGAAGGGGCTCAGCATCCTGGGAGGACCAGGCTGTCCCCCAGGCTGGGAACCACACCCCCCCAGGCCTGGTCAAGCCAGGGGTGGACGTGAGGCCTGCAGAGCCCAGGAAACGGGACCAGCTGGAGAGGAACGAGCCCCATCCCAAATGGGCAGAGAAAGGAAGGGGCCAGAGGCGGGGCAGACCGCCCGTAGACTTCCCCAGCAAGTCAGAGGGGAAAGTCAACAAGAAAGCGCGGAAGCCGCGAGCGAGAAGGTTCCGGGAGGAGAGCGGTCCCCGGGTCCCTCCTGATGGGGTTTCAGATAGAAGCAACTGGAATCCGTCACCCACCACTACCAGCTGCCCCGCTCCCCCGAGCCACCACCTCTCGCCAGAGGCAGAGCAGGAGACCCAGGCCGCACAGCCACCTCCCCTGGCCACGGACCCAGAGGAGACATCCGCGAAGAAGCCACCCGGGGATCGGGTAGTGGAGGAGGCGCCTCCCGGGGAAGAGCCAGGGGGGCAGAAGGCAGCCCTGGCAAGGGGGTGCCGGGGGTCCAGAGAGACCAGGACGTCGGGTGTCTGCAAGGAGCCGCCCGGGGTGGCTAGGGGAAAGCCTGCAGGCGACGGCAGAGTGGCTGAGAGCGGGTCGGGGCGAGGTGCCTGGGATGGACGCGAGCCCCCCTGGGGCCCCCCAGGCGCTCCTGGGGCTTGTGGTTCCGAGGCAGGTGGCAGCAGTCGCCCCCAGGTTCCCCGGCACGGCCCAGGAGACGGGGTCCAGGAGCAGCAGAGCGCCGTTCCCGGAGCCCCCAGCCCAGACCTCGGGGACCCTTTGAGCTTGTTTGATGATGAGGCCTCCTTTTTCCCAGCTCTTCCCCCCAGGTGACCGCTTGACTCGGAAGAAGAACCCCCGTGTCTACGGGAAGCGCTGTAAAAAGCCCACGTCCCCACTGCGGCCAGAGCCCAGCGGCCAGGCGGGGGACAGCGCCGCCCCGAGCCCCGCCCGCCTGCCCACAGACCTCAGCGACTCAGGCTCGCCCTGCCTGTCCCACGAGGACCTGTGGGGGGGTGCGGCCGCAGGTCTGCCGGAGTCCTTCCTCCTGGAAGGCTTCCTCAGCAGCAAGGTGCCTGGCATCGACCCCTGGGCCCCGAGCCCCAGCCTGTTGGCCCTGGAGCCTGACCTGGAGGCAGACCCCCGCCACAATGAGGACCACCTGTCAGAAAACATCCCTGAGCTGCACATGGTCCCGCCAGCTTGGCGAGGCCTGGAGCTGCAGGACCCCGCCGACGATGCCACCTCTCCTCTGGGAGACGTGAGCCCGGAGCCCCCCGACCTGGAGCAGGAGCGCTACGACTGTGGGGTCCCGGGGAGCGCCGTGGGTCTGGAGACGCCTGGCGCCAAGCTGGAGGTGCAGGCCCTGTGCTTCCCTGAGGGTCTCTCCAGTGCGAGCTGCTCGGGCTTCACAGCCATGGCCAGTTCCCAGGGCCCACGGAGCAGGACAGCGGAGGCGGCCAGGGCAAGAAAGGCCCCAGGCGGAGGCCGACTGGCCAAGGCCCGGAGGGCGTCCCACAAGTGCAGGGTGTGCTTCCAGCGCTTCCGCGGCCTAGGCGAGCTGGACCTGCACAGGCTGGCCCACAGCCCCTCGCCACCCCCAACCTGCTACATGTGTGTGGAGCGCAGGTTCGGCTCGCGCGAGCTGCTGCGGGAGCACCTGCAGGAGAAGCATGTGCAGAGCAAGGTGGGGCCGTGGGCCTGCGGCATGTGCCTCCGGGAGGTGGCCGACGTGTGGATGTACAACGAGCACCTGCGGGAGCATGCTGTGCGGTTTGCCCGCAAGGGGCAGACGCGGAGGACCCTGGGGGACCTGCCTGGAGGCTGGGAGGGGGACGGCGCGGTCATGTACTTCCTGAGTGGCATGGTGGGGCAGACGTCCAAACCCCACAGGGGCAAGCGTTCTGTCGGCAAGGCAGGCGGGGCCCTGCAGACGCCTTGGGACAAGACTCCGGAGCTGGGAAAGAATTCCTGAGGGAGAAGCCGAGACCCAAGGCCCGCAGCAATAGCTCAGACCCAGACCCAGACCCAGACCCGGACGGTGCCTCCGCCCAGGGCAGCCCGTCAGCCTGCGCGACCCCCGCCCCGCCCGGCGGCTCATCCCCTGAAGCCCGTTCCAGCGGCGAGCCCCTCCTCCCGGCGGCCCCCGTACACCAGGACTGCAAGGACCCAGCCCGCGATTGCCACCACTGCGGGAAGCGGTTCCCCAAGCCGTTCAAGCTGCAGCGCCACCTGGCGGTGCACAGCCCGCAGCGCGTCTACCTGTGCCCGCACTGTCCGCGGGTCTACCCGGAGCACCGGGAGCTGCGCGCGCACCTGGGCGGCGAGCACGGGCTGCGCGGGGAGCTGGAGCTGCAGCACACGCCACTGTACGCCTGCGAGCTCTGCGCCAACGTCACACACATCAGCAGGAGGTCCTTCGTCTGCAGCTCCTGCAACTACACCTTCGCCAAAAAGGAGCAGTTCGACCGGCACATGGACAAACACCGGAGGAGGGGGCAGCAGCCCTTCACGTTCCGTGGCGTGCGGAGGCCCAGAGCCCCTGGGCAGAAGGCCCCGGCCCATGAGGGCTCCCTGCCCAGCAAACGGCGCAGGGTGGCCCCGCCCACCAGCCCCCCCAGGTCCAGTGTGGACCGGCCTTTGTCCCGGAGCAGCAGCCCCACCCTGAGCGAGGGGTCCCTCCCAGCCCTGCTCCAGCCCTGCCGAGAGGCAGCTCCCAGCACCATGGAAGGGCAGCCCAGGACCCCAGAGAGGCCCACAGACCCTGTGGGCCATCCAGTCAGGGGCAGTGATCTGTCCTCTGACCTCCAGGAGCTCCTGCCCCCATCCCTGTCTCCTTTCCCAGCAGCCTCACCTGATGGCAAAGATGGCCACAAGCTGGACCAGGCCCTGGAGAGCTCTGAGGATGAGGCTTCCCCTGGCAGCCCAGAGCCTCTCCTCCAGGAGGCTGCCCCGTCAGAGAGCTCTCTGCCCCAGCCGGGAGCCAGAGGCCAAGATGTAGGGGAAAAGAGGGCTGCTGGCCCGTTCTCAGGGAAACGCAGGACCCCGAGCGCCCCTGGCAAATGTGCCCCTAACCATCGCCCAGAGGCCTCCTCCCTGCTCTGGAAGGAGAAGCAGGTGTCCACATGTCACTTGGCACCTTCAGGGGCCACGGGAGGCCCCTCCCATAAAGGCAGTGCCACCAAGCCTGGGGGCTGCCGGAGCTCATCAAAGGACAGGTCAGCTTCGTCCACCCCTAGCAAAGCACCCAGGTTCCCAGCACAACCAAAGAAGGCGGCGGCCAGTCCGACACACGGAGAGCTAGCCCGTGGCACTGAGGACAGGCCAAAACCCACCACCCTCAAAGCCAAGCCGGGCCCCAGCTCCCAAGGTGCTGGAGGCCCCCAGCAGGGCACCAAGACAGCAGGCGGCAGCCAGCCCCAGCCAGCCAGTGGGCAGCTCCAAAGCGAGACAGCCACCACCCCTGCCAAGCCCAGCTGCCCAGGCCAGGGCCCCGCCCCAGACAAGCCCACACCTCGAGCCCCAACTAAAGGCTACCCCAAGGGACCAAAGGAAGCTGGTGAGCAGGGGCCACGAGGGAGCCTGGGCCCCAGGGAGGGTAGGGACAGTAGTGAAAAGAAGAGAAAGGGCCGGGCCCCAGGGCCAACCAGGGGTGAAGGTGTGGGGAGCCTGGGGAGGGGCCCCTTGGTCCCTGACAGACCCCACCGGGCACCTCGAAAGCAGGCAACTCCCAGCCGTGTGCCTCCCGCCAAGCCCAGGCCCTGTAGCCAGAACAGCACAGTGCCCCCCCAGCCCTCAGAGCTGCGGAAGGGGGAGCCCAGCCACACTCATGGGGATACCAGACGTGTCAAGGAGGGGTTGGGCAAGGCCCTACCCCAAGGGAGACCCCTGCACAGGCCCCCCAGGATGGGCGGGGCTGTCCACGGCACTGAACCCACCCACCCCCGGGCCTGCCGGACAGCAGAGTCCCAGAGCCACCTCCTCAGCCAACTCTTCGGGCAGAGACTAACCAGCTTCAAGATCCCTTTAAAAAAGGACCCTCCTGAGTAATTTACAGGAGCCAGTGAGTGCCTGGGAGTGGGGCTGGGAACACATCCAGTGCATGGGCCCCTGTCTACGTGAGGAGCTCCAGTCCTCTGAGAGAGTTGGCCTGCTGGCCACATCTTAACCCACTTGGCTTATAGTTCAAATGCTCAGACTTTGTGTGAGAGCTGAGACACATGCTTGAGCTGGGCCTGGGCTGGAGAGCAATACCTTCCTATCTGGAAGGCAAGGGTGAGGGGCGGGCCAGCTGCAGCCTCTTTGAGACCACACAGCTATTTTCTCAATACCCAGAACATAGAGAGCAACTCACCCCACCTCGCCCCATGTGCCCCATTTCCGGGGCCTGGTATGCCACAGAACCCCTTGTGGTGAAGGTTTGCACAGGTGCTCCCACCCATATCATCCAGCGGGGACGTCAGTCGAGGCAGCCGCAGGTCAGATGACGGCAAGCCTCCTCTTAGTCTCATTGCTGCTGTTGCTGGAATTCTAAAGTGACTCTAGACATCGGACGGGGCGGGGGCAGAAGAGCCATTTGCGAGCCACCTGCCCCCTCCCCCTGCCCTGCCCCCGACAGAGCGCAGCAGGCCTTCTCTGACCACAGGCCCATGTCAGCTTTTGTCCGCGCTGCCGATGGGGAAGCAGGCACCCTGACCCCTGGGGACCCGGCCCACTCCCGCCGGTCCTCCCCCCAGCCTCCACAGCTGCCCTGTCCAGAGCCTGCCTCCTGCACGGAGCTCTCTGCTGCACGTATCAGCAATTTTACTCTGAAGTTTCTGGTGCTATTTTCGTGTTGTAATGTGAATACAGGCTTCTTTGATTTGTTTTCCCTGGGGGATGGGGTCCGGCCCAGGGGCCAGAGGGAATGTGCACGTGGCCCACAGGCACCAGTGGCCAAGAAGTCCTCCGCGGGCTCCTGGAGCAGCCGGAGGGGACCCTCAGGCCGGGCTGTGGCGCTGCCCCAGTCAGGGGGCGTCTCATGCACTGACGGGACCGAGGGGTCAGTCTGCACATCCTTACTAGAACCGTGTCTTCACGGGGCAGGAGGGTGGGAGGCTTCCTCTGTTCTTAGGTATCTCTAAGGTTCATGGTTCGTTTGGTTCTGTTTTTTCACTTCTACCTTGGGTGCAATGCGTATGTCAAAAGTTTCTATTTTGGTATTTCAAAAGAGACCAAACCAGGCCCAAACCGCCTTTCTAGAAGGTGTGTGTGTGTGCCACTCAGAGTGCCTCTTCAGCGCTGATAAATAAAAGCTGAGGGGCTCTGGGGTTGTACATAAAATAGCAGTGACCTCACGCTGTCAGTGTGTGCGCACAGTTTTCACAGGGAGCCTCCTGCTGTGGCGTCTGTCCTCCACCAGCCCCACCCTGCCTGCCCCACCTGAGCCACCTGCCCTGCAGAGCTGCCCTCTGCGGGAAGCGGTCCCACCAGCCCTCCAGGTTGGTCAACAGTGGGACGATGCCATGGCCCTGGGCAGGGCCCTCTAGAGCAGAGCCGTGGACGGAGTGGCGGGAGTAGCTACTAGACAGCTCGTTGGGAGACGCGGCGGGCAGCAGAGGCAGCAGGAGGGCTCAGGCCCCTGGGGCGCGGCGTGCCCTGAAGACCCCTTCGAAGACCCCAGGGTCCTGGACAAGCAGCAGAAGGGGCTGTCCCGGGCTCGGTACCAATCCCAGCCCTGCCCCCCCCCCGACAGCTCCCCAGGCATGAGGGGGCTCTCAGAGCAGGTCCCTGACCACACGTGCTGGGGGTGGGGGGGGAGCTTCACCAAGCCCTTCCACAGGGAGAGGGTCCCACATGTGCCACCGTGACACCAGGCCACGGACCTGCCCTGCCTGCTCTCGCTCTTCCTGCCAAGCCCTTGCCCGTGCAGTTCCCTCCACCAGGAACGGCCTCCCCAGAGCCTCTCAGTCAGTCACAGCCTGTCCCAGCGATGCCCCCGCCCAGGTGGGCTGCCCTGCTGCACTGGCATTTGCATACCTACAGTGCACTGGGGAGCAAGCCTGTGGCTTCCAAGGAGGCACGGGCTGGGGAATGGGGTTGGGGTGGATGGAGTCCGAGCCAAGTTGAGAAAGGCCATCTGGGGCCTTGGTGGTGGACACTGTGGGGTCAGCTGGGTCCACAGCACCAGAGGCCCCGCTCAGCTCACCACACCTTGGGCTGCCGGGGACCAGCATCCTTGTCCCTGGAAACACTGGAGAGTGCAGTTCCTGACTGTGAATCAGACACTGGGGCGGCCAGGCACTCTGTGCCGTCACCTCTCTTCGGGGTCTGAGGCTAGAGACATCGGGGACAAAGACGTTCCCAGGGCAAATGTGAGCAAACCCACCCCACCTGGGCCCTGAGTCCCCACTGAGGCTGCTAGACCCATGGTGTGGGCCGCACCAGCCTGGCCAGCAGGTGGCAGCATTCGCTGGCACAGGCCCCGCCAGCTCCCCTTGGCCTCCAAGCCCCACCCACAAACCCCAGACTTTTCCAACAGGCCCAGAGACACACGCTTACTGTACACCGTGTGCACCCCTCCGCGCCTCTCACACACACAGCCACATGAGTGACTCGGGGCACATCTGGGGGACCTGGCCCTCGAGGGGTCCCAGGGTGGGCGTCCGGAAAGGCCCCTTATGAGCCATGGGAGTGGGCCAGACAGGGCAGGAGAGGGTCCGGGTGGGCACAGACCCCATGTAGGGACCACAGCTCCCTGAGGACCTGAGGAAGCTGAGAAGGACCTCCCCACCCCATGTCCTCGAGCAGGACCACTCTGCCTGGGCCTGAGGACCTAGCTCGCCCCATCTAGGAAGCCAGAGTGCCCCTCACCCCAGACTGCAGGGCACCCCCAGCTGCCCCGCGGCGGGCTGTGTCAGCAGCAAGGCCACATAAATGGCTGCGTATACAACTGCGTCCCCTACCAGGTCTCAGAGACACCCCACTACCCTCGGCCCCACCACCTGGAGACGGGCTGAGAGAGAAGACAGTGCCTGGGAGCAGGCAGAGGGGCCAGGCTGGGGGGCACATGGGGTCTGCCTCGACGGGGGGCGGCGGGAGGGAGCAGCTGGCGCCGAGCGGCAGGGGGGCGGCCACGTCCCCCAGGCCCCGCCGCAGGGATGCTTGCCTCGCGGCCTGGGCGCATCCGCCCGGGACTGGAGGGCAGTATCACAGCAGGCTTCCTGGGGCTTCCGGGCCGCAGACACCTGCCTCAGAGAGCCCGGCCTCCCAGGAGGAGCGTGCAGATGGCCACGCCCACACAGGCGGAAGGATCTGCATCTACAGGGCCCCCAGCGAGGCTCAAAGGAGCAGAGGGCCACCAGCGGCCAGTGTCAGGGCTTCCTGAAGCACCTCCCGTGGTGGGGGCAGGACTTGGACGCCATGGGGCCTGCCCATGTCACCTGCAAGTGGGCTCTGGAGGTCTGACCCTGAAGCCACACACCCGCAGACCCGTTTCTCCACCTGTCCAGCGGGGGGGG